GCCTGGAGGTAATTCAAGACCAGCTCAAAAAACCCACAAAACATGTAAAGAAACCTGTTAAGAAAAGAAGCCAACTCCAGAACAGACCTTAAAAGCTTTAGTAGCTAAACAACAGCAGGACTTGCTTTCTAAAGGAAATTTCACACAAAGAATTCTGTGGTCATTAAGAAATTCTTTCTCCTTATATCACTCGAACTCAAGACTCCAATCTACTCTGCAAGTTCCCTCCGTAGGCTATTTTCCACCACCATCATTTAACACTGAAATCAGTAGGACGTACCATAAACAAATGCTTCTGGAGCGCGGTAGATCTACCTTTTCCTGATTTGTATCTAAAGTGATTCACTTATTGCTCATGTTTTGGTAGATCATCTATTCTCCCTTTGGAATATGCTGAAAAACTGGAAGGGCACCAGAGAGCTCATGTTACAGAGAAAACTTTGCAAAATCATCTAATACTAATTCACCTGGATTTCACATTCCCCATTATCTTTTGGGATAACAGAACAGATCCAGCAATACTATTACACTGAGGCTGAAAAGGTTTATTGTAATAAATGGTAAGAGTTGGAACTCCTCATCCCATTGGTGTTTATGGCTGCTGGTGGAAAAGAAACACCTCCTTTGGGGGCCAAGGCAAGAAGAGAGCTGTCATTGCCAGGAGTCTTGGGCTGGGAAATCAGCCATATATATGCAAAAGGATTTCCACTGATATTTTCATGCAAAAACCTGTGAGAATGGTATCCAAATATTCATTTGGATAACACAAATAATCAAAGACAATCAAAACAGAAAGCAAAGGCAGTTTGTTGGCAGAGGGAAAATGATTGGAAAGCAAATGGTTTAGGGGAGGGCTGCCCTACGCAGTAGTAGAGCACATCTGGTTGCACCCCTGTCGTAAAATGAACAATGTAATAATTGTGAACTGAGCTGGCTTTAGATGCTGTTACTGAGCAATCTTGGAGTAAAAGCTATCATCTAGATGAGATTAGACTGTACGATTTCCTTAGAGTGAGGAAATCCACGTCAAGGCAAACTCTAGCCAAGCCTGACAATATAAAGTTGTGTTTTATGAGCCACAGCAGGAAAAAAACATTCCTATCTTCCAGAAAGTACTAGAGAAAGGGGTTTCTGTTATAGAAAAGTGTTGCAACAACCTCAGATCAGATCCCTCATTGATTTGGGCCTTATACTTCATCCCTTCATTTTTAACCTCTTATTTAGTGCAAATACAGATGTTTTGTGCATTTACATTTTAAACCTTTCCCACTAGGATGCAAATTAAAGAGGGCACTTCTACATGATTTAAGAAATATATTTCTCTGTTGACAAGTATGGTAGAAATTTATCAATTATACTAATGAAAAATTGGTATTCAGAGCCTGGTATTGAAAATAAATTTGCTATTTAGAATATGCATGATGTTGTTAACTTGTTGAGGCAGCTGTGAGTGAAAATTAATGATTCATTTCAGCACATGATCAAGAAGGCAAGAAGAAATTGCATGTGCAGAGGAATTATTGGTACAGCTTAGAGAGGCCATGTGTTACCCACCCTCATTAACCCATGAAATAAGGAACAGAAAATCTCGCAACTACACTGAGGATGCATGAGCAGCTAAATGGTATCATTGGTGGTGCAGAACTGATGTTTCCAGGAACTGGCACATCACCAAATTAATGTGACATCCCACAAAGATATGGCCAGGTCAATAGGGAGGGCAGGAAACCTACCCCCCTCCTCTCCCTCATTTACCAAGTGAGACCACTGAGCAGCCAAAGCCACCTGTGATATAAAGAGATGGTTTTGTCTAGCAACAGATCATCCAGACATCATGAAGGCCTCAATTGTGTCATTATTCCAATTGTTTTAAAGCTTCGTAAGTGCTTCCATTAAATCAGCTAAGCTGTTATACCTGCACCAGGTTGCTTCTTCTAAACCAGCCACTGATTCAGTGCAAATATAATCATCAGGAAAACAGTAAATACATTTGTCTCTTCAGCTGCCCCCTTGGAACAGTGTTCTTAAAGTTCTCATTAAGCAATAGGAGAACTTTCTCAAGCTACAAACATCACACTACACAAACCAGTTTATTTTCTTCCTAATGAAATAAATTATAATAAATAAATGTAAGTGTATGGACACTTGCTTTTTAAATGAAATGTTTCACAGATTTCTCTGGTGCAGCAACAAAATGAAAAGCACAGAAAAGCCCTTATATTCTGAGCATGTTCACATGAAGCTCATGCTACAGCTATGAACAGCACCGAAAGACTTCTTCTACTTATGGGTGCTAGTCTACAGGCTGCAGTGTTCTTTAGCCACCAGGAGGATGAAGACAGCTCTTCTGATACTTTGACTTTGCATTATTAATTAACACAAGTAAACTCTTTGCTTGCAGACAGTGGGATAATGTTGTAAATGTAATGTCACAGTCATGGGTGCTGCAGGAAACTGCTGGGAATAGCTTTATTTCCTTTGAGTGTGCATGAGAAAAGGTGTTTTCTGTGATTCCAATCTCTAAAGTAGTTCTGTGCCTCAAGAATTGTCTTTCATAAGTAAAACTCTTTATTCATCTTGATTACAGAAGTTCTGAATCTACCCAACACTGAAATGATTGGCTATTTCATCTGTATTTGGTAGCTGTCGAGAGGGGTAAAGTGATCTGCAGATGCAGTGCAAGTCAGCAGTAATCTAGCGTTCTGATGCAGTTACAAAGCCACAAAAACCATGCCGTGTTGACTGTACAATATTACACCTAGGGGGTCTTCTTAGATGGTTAGTTATGATTGAAACTACAAGTCACAGCCTACACCAGCAAAAAGGTTGGGGTAAACCCAGAGTTTTGAAGTTTTCAAAAGCGAACAATTGCATTTAAAAGGTGTCAGATTCTTATTGTAGCCCTGGTTTTCATGAAGCATAAAGAAGTGAGCATCAAGAATCTTCTCTCAGTTCCTACACTGTACTTTAAAACATTCTGTCATCTGAAGCTTTACAGCTAAGTGCTTTTGAAAGCCAAGAGAATACTTTCTTATAGACTGCACAGGTAGGAACCAGCTACTGAAACAGTTCCACGTGTGTCATTAACAAGCTGGTTTATGTTGTATGAATTAAAAACTGGAAACCCCACCTGATTAGAGGTGTCCACAATAAGCAGTGTTGAATCCTGACATTTAACTTTGCTGTCTGAAATGCACCCTCTTCGCCATTAGCTCCTTCACATTTGCAAGTATATCTCCTCTCAGTCTTTCTAAGCAGACCAGAATCCCTTCCAATGTTCCCAGTGGGTTATTTTTCTTAGCTCCCATTCCTCTCACGTGGATACCGGCAATGCAAGGGCAGAGTGGGACCAGTCTCAGCACCCAAAACAGAGGAGTCTAAAACCTATCTGGGCTTGGCGGAATACCTGAAGGGAGGAAGAAGGGCCAGACAAGAACAACCAGATATAGTCTCAGCTCACTTCTATTCACTGTTCCCAAGGTGTTTCTGGTGTTCTGTTGTCACTATCAAAGCCCTGAGCAATCTCAGCCATGAGGAAGGTAAGCATTCTCCCACCACTGGCATATCCAACATGGGTAAATCCCATCCTTTCCTCCAGGAGATATTAGCCCACAGTACTGACACGTAAGGCTCTCCTTCCCCAAGAGCCTGGCACTGCTGCCCAGTTTCTCTCTTCTCCACCTTTCATGACAACAGTCATTTATCAACTTGCTCAAGCAAAACAGCTTAAGCTGGTCTGCTGCTCATCTCAATGAGTCAAAGCCTCTTCATGTCCTTAATAGGATTTTGGACTTGGGGAGGTCAGAGGTAAACAACACACCATGTCAGGCTAGATTAGATTACATTTGAAGGTATGACAGCGCTTTGTTTCTGCTATTAATGCTGCCAGGCACTAAGGAGTCTCATTCAGCTGCCTGCAGCAGTGCAGCATACATGTTTTGTACAACAGAACTCCCAGCAACATGCAGCAAACATTTGCATTAAGAAAATGGGATATCTTGAGCTCAATGAATTTCATTGTGTTAGTTGTCTACTTGACCCCCCCTTAATTTTACTAAAGGCAGCCTACCTCACTTAATGTTCTACCTTCCTCTTGGAATTGCATATGGTGCCAACTTACAGCTTCAGCAGGCTGGAATAGCTCTGTCGGCTTTCAGAAGATGCAGTTCTCTGTCATATTCTGTTCCTTAGCTGTTCTTTAGACTATTATAGCCCATTAACTTGCACCTTCTTTGTTTCACAAAGCTTTTCCTAAGTGGGTTTATCAATGGCTTTTTAAAGACCCCAATAAGCATCACCTGGTCCCATTTCATGGATACTTAGCTGACACAAAGAGACTCAAAGTAGCAGATAAGGGTAAATATCGATTAGCTTAAGATAAAATGGAGCTGCAGGGGGTGATGGAGCAGCTTTGCACAAAACCTCCCGAAGGATCCCTTTCTCTGAGGTAAGAATTACAGGAAGCAAAATTTCAGAAGACTTGAGACTTTTGTGTCTGATTAAGCTTAAACCAGGACTCCAGTCGCTATTTAGTGTGGGTGAACAACATGAGAAATCCAAGAAATAACTCTGTGAGTTTTTTGAGGAAAAAAATACATGGGAAAAACAAATTAAACCACTAAAATGAATAAGCAGCCACAGACTACATAGCTTCCTCTGCCTATTACACTGTAGCAACCACAGTAAGGAACAGCAAGATAAAGCCACTCATACAATTGCAGATACTTGTATTCTAGTAAAAGCTTTTTCTTTCCACCCATCCTAACACAAGAAATAGAATTAAAGCCTGCAAAACAAGAAAACAAAGAAGCACTATCAAAGAAACAGAATGTGGAGGGAAGGGGAAAAGCCCCTACATGTTAAAACCATAAAACACCTACTTCTTCACAAAGTATAGGCACATGGTGGGACCTTTTCTAAGAAAGTCTCCACCCCCATTTCCCATCATGCTTTAACCTCATAGCTATATATAAGCCAATGAACTTTCCCTGAGCCTTTCACTTCCCCTAGCTGTGGGGAGGTTGATGGTGTAGCTGGTGTTCCTAATGGGACATCAATGTCTAAGGCCACCTGTGAGTAGAGTTTGTTCTTCAGGAGCATACAGGTAAGCTATAAAGACAGCACCAAACTTGCTCATGGTTTTTGAATCTGGGTAGGGTTAGCAAAGAGTTGGAGGTGCAGATTGTGACACTAAGTTAGCATTTACTGCAATGTTGCTTTATTTGTTTGGGATAGTGTCTTATTGTTCAACAATCTGGCCTTTGAGTAAGGAACAGCTTTCTTTAAGCATTGCATCTGATTAAAGGAATTCTTATGAAAGCAGCAGGAGTACCCATTATGTAATTAAAACTTTCCTGTTTGCATGGAAAATTGCTATGAGACTAATGCTGTGTGAAGGCAAAGACTTTAACGGGTAGAACCTTTACTTTCAAGTTCTGTTAAAGAACATGAGTCATGTTTGGGAATGGGATTAAAGCAAATTTTTGCTTTAGTAGTAGGCTTACTTATGGCACTCCTTTTTTTTCTGGCTGCTTGATGTCAATGCTCAGAGGCCAGCTGGGAAGGGGAATAAACTAATGCTATCAAGGCATTCTTGCAGAAGACTCTTTGATGTAATTAGGGATGTGAGATCTCCATTGCAAGCAGCTCTGTTAAACTGGTCAACTTCAACAAGACTGTCCCAACTTCTGTAGTTTCTCCCTAGTTCTTTGTACTGAGTTGATGCTGCTGAGAGCTTAGCTTGAAGTCCTGAAGATCCCCAAACCAGTGATGGTCTGGGGTAGTATGTTTGTGGTTTGATCTTGTTGAGGTAGAGGAAAAACAGGAGACTGCTGGAAGTTTGTTGTGCTGCTGTTCTGGTGTTGCATTTCATTAACAGTTGTTTTCTAGATGGCATATGAAGCATCTGTTCTCTTAAAGGTTATAGGCAATGTAATATGCAGTATCAGCAGTCTGATAACTAGGATGATACTCTCAAGTGCGGTTACAGTAGTCTAGTAGAAGGTGTCTCTGCCCTTGGCAAGGAGGTTGGAACTGAATGAGTGTTGAGGTCCATTCAACCTGAACCATTCTAGGATTCTATGATAAGATGTAGCATTTTTAAAACCAGACTGACCTTTGCTGTTTGATGGGATGTGTACAGTTTCCATTGTTCTGGAAGATGTAGGAGGAAACTCATTTCAGCCGTAGGTTTAGCTGGCATTCTCTCCTCAATAAGGAGGAAGAAATGACATCTGAAAGAGCAAGCCAAGGAATGAGTATCTTGTGATGCATGGTGCCACTGTGTCCTCTCCTGGGATGTGTTTGAGGAACCCTATGGGGAGCAGGGAAAGAAGTGTCTCTCTGTGTGCTAAGGGCTGCCCTGGGAGGGAGGTTTTCTTTCCAAGCAGAGGAAGACAACCAGAGTAGATGCCATAAGCCAGCAACCTGTGAAAGATAAGGGAGAAATTCCTAGGGAAAAAGAAGAAACTACTTCAGAGAAAAGGAAAGGGATGGGAATAGGAGATCTAGGTGACTTTTTACACAGCACCTGTTCAGAAACTTGATGAAGTTCAAGTCTGGAGTCCCTTGTGAAAGACCTCTTGCTCAAGATGTAAGCCTGCAAATGATGTGAACGTTAAGTTTAACATTTCTAAGAAGTTGTTAGAACAGATTCTTTTATATTCTAGTGATTTCTATGTGTCTCTGAAAGTAGCTTTGTTACAATGAGCTAAAGTACTGACAGTGCAGTAAGACGTTCTGCAAATGGCATGTGGGGAAGGCTTGCACAAGCTGCACTAAACCCATTTTACCATGTGCGCTAGCCCACATTGGAGTGGGAGATTCATGGGGATTTAGAAGAAATCAGTTGAGAAAATGAGAAGAACTGGGGGAAAGCAATTCTATGGGTTGTGTCCACACGGAATGATCCTTCAGGAATATGGTGAATAAAAGAAACCTACAACTAGAATGTTTTGATGAGCATCACTTTGAGAATAACACAGTATGTTCAAAGCAAGAGCTCTTAAAATCTGATTTAGTGCTAAATAGGGATACTTGGTGGAGAAATTTAAGCACTTAGCCAAGAACCCCATCAAGCAGAATGTGCCCTTGAGGATGTCCCTTGAGCTTTGAAATGCTCTTGCAGAAGGTGTATTCCCCAAACAGGTAATCCTGCGTTTAAAAAGGCAAATGTCAGTCAATTGCTTGCAGAAAGGAAAGAGCAGAGAGGTGTAGCAAGCACTCTGTGTAGGGGTACTGTTGAGAAATGCTATTGGAATCCATGGATGTGATTTGATATCTATCTGATAGCTATTAAAGGAGCAACTCGATTCTCTTGCAGTGTTGTATCATTCTGCTGACATCTTGCTGATATTTCTGGAACATGCCTTTGTATAGACTAAGCTAACTTCTGCTTCATGTTGGAAATAGTGGTTTATCATTTTTGGTTTAGCCAGCTAGGCTGATCACTTGACAAACAATAGATTTCAAGCTTCAGGCTTTAAATACAGAAGCGATTATTTATAAATATCAAGGGATTTACCTGTTCTTTCAGAGACTGAGACTGTATTTGTGTCAAATCCAGATTTCCAGCCAAGCCCAGATTGTGCATGGATTTAGTGGTGCTGAAGTGTATATACCAGTTCTGAAGTGAGTAGGACTCCTTGTTGCACAGGAAAGTCATGTTCTGTCCACAGTACCCTGCCTTATGGAGGTCTTGGATGCTGTAGAACAGGCAGGCAAGGGATGCTTCACTAGCCAGGTTAAAAAGCAGTAATTGGACTCAAATCCTTCAGCACTGCATAGAAGTGTAAAATAAGCATGTAAAATAGGCAGCACTCTCCTGGTGACTCCATCTGCTCCGTGGCAGCACCACGGCTGCTCTGCCTTATTTCTCTGGCAGATTCCTCACCTCTCTTATGGTTTATAGCTCAGCCAGCTCGCTGCAGATCATCCTCTCCCCAGGCAAGGTTGGAGACTGAAATCACTGCCCCTGAGTAAAAAAACGGCATCTTCATCTCGGGCTCAGCCATCAAATCTCATTTTCCCTTTTGGTGCTGGACACCTATCTCTGGCCAGCTTTCACAGCTGATGTGCAACTGGGTATTTGGCTTTGCTGTTGCACACTGTGGGTTTTGTGTTCTCTTCCAACAGGAATGCTATTACCCAGGGAGGTGTTTATGTGCTTCAATGTTTTGACTACACCAGCTTTCCATTCAAACAATTTCTGGTGAAAACGAAACCAAGCCTGCAGTGAGAGAACAGGGCAAAGAATTAGCACAGCTATTCTCTTGGACTAGACAAGGGAAGAGGGCAAATCACAAACAGGGTTGTAGTGGCATGAGCAAGAAAGACATGCTATTTTCTTAGTGGCTTTACCGCTGGGTGTAGGGATGCTCTGTTATCCACAGAGAACAGCCCAGTTGGAGATGAGTGATGTTGTACTCCAGCCCTGAAACTGTGCTCTAGGATGAATCAATTCTGAGCTACAAAGTGAAAGAAAAGCATAGAATATTTATATGGTGTCAAGTTAATGCCCTTGAAAGTGCAGATCCCAGCACTGTGGGCTGGTGGGCTCCACAGGCTTCAGTGAAGATATATTGATGCAGAACAACTGAGAATAGGCAGCTTCATTGGCTACCAGAGAAGATGCTTGTTGCCTTGTGAAGTAAGTGCTATTTATCTTTCTCACGTTACGATCAAATATAGAGGCAAGTGGCAAGGGAAGACAGGCAGGCTTCATTATTTTTCAGCCCATCTTAGATTTTGTTAATAAAATACAGTTTAAGTATGGTTTTGTGTGGCTGTTTGGGAAGCCCATTTTTTTTTCTTCTGAGGAATGATTTAATACCTTTTCCTGAGCCTGTGTTGTACTTGGGTGCTATGAATCTGAGCTCCTCTTTCCAGTGTATTTGACCACCATCCTGATTATACATAATGGCAGAATTTGGGATAACATTGCAGGAAAAAAAAGGATTCCATAGATAATATTGGGATTTTTTCCCCACGCTAGCCTGACAACACATCCTGACAAGTCTTTACAAACTATATAGGTAAAGCTTCCCATAATTTTCAAAGCTGGGTAGGTTTCTGGGGCTGGATTTTAATGGAAATCGATAGAAAGGATTCTGTCACTCTAACTGCAGTACATACAGAGGTTTGTATGTGACTGGGGATCTTATTTTTGAGGTGTCACCAACACCTGGGGTGAGGTGCACACAAAGAAATGAAAGTGAGTCCTGTTGGCCTTGATTCCTGTCCCCCTCACCTGTGGTTGCCTTCATCTCTGCAGTGAAATCCTGCTTTGTACTCCAGCTTTTATTGTGAAGATACAGCACTGCTGAACAGATACATGAGTGGCTGAAATCCTGGTGGGATTCAGGGAGCTGGTGTGCTCCCACTTCTTCCACCTGAAGAATTCATCCAGACACATGAGCTCAGAGCATCCCTATGGTGTATTTTAGTGATCTGTTGTGGGAGGTGGGAAATGAGGGCTTTGTGCCATGTCTCAAGTAGAAAGGGCTTTTAAACCCATGGCTCTTTGCTAATTACAGGTGAAGATGATTAATCTGCTGCCTCTTCCAGAAGCCCATCCATGCTTCTGCAACCACACTTGGGAGTTGCTTTACAGCCATGGATGGTGGGGCAGGCAGGAGTCCAGCTGTTTGAAGGGTGTTTAATCCATGCTCCTCAGCCAGCAAAGTCAGGTGTGTGGCAGCACTCCTGTTAGCATTGTGTGTTCAGCCATTTAATTACTCTCGTGTATTTCAGGAGTCGTTGGTGCACTCTTGCATGTCTAGGTCCTGAACCTGATGTGTAACTACCTCTTCTTTGGTAAACTTAAATGGATGCATTATCTGATGGAGTGCTTTTTGTGATTTAGAAGCAGCAGTGGGACTAAGCACAGGAATCAGTCAATATTGATTATCACAGTTTTTCCTGGACTTAAGAGAAGTGAGTTGTAATAAGGGACTGTGGGGTTTCAGTGTTCTGAAGCCTGCCTTATACCTGTGAGAAATCAAAGCAAAGCGTAATTAATGCTGTTGGCATGAACATTAATTCTGGACCAGTGATGATATGGACATTAAATGGAGGATGTAGCCTTTCCCATAATGTATTACACTA